CTACTACTACTACTACTACTACTACTACTACTACGACTACGACTACGACTACGAACTACTACTCTACTACTACCACTACTACTACTACTACTACTACTACTACTACTACTACTACTACTACTACTACTACTACTACTACTACTACTACTACTACTACTACTACGCACACTACCATTACCACTACCACGAATCATCGGTACTATCACCATCGGCGAAGCAGACACCATCAGCATCGTCTTCGTTGCCGTCGCCATTGCCATCGTCATGATCGCCGTCGTCATCCTCATTGTCATCTTCTCGCGGAGAAACCGGCCCGTCCTAGCTTTCGGACCTTCACGTCCCTCGTCTCGTACTTGTCGTGCTGCTCCTGCGGGAGGGCCCGCGAGGCGGCAAGCTCCCACGGCGGCACCCAGGGCTGCCGAGGAGATGCGCCAGGCCGCCGAGACCGAGATGAGCACGGGGCCTCCCCCGACCCCTCCCCCCATTGCCTCCACCCCACCACCACACAAACACACACACGCACACACACACACACACACACGCACAGACACACATTTGGCGTCGCGGTCACGCGCGCAGCGGTGCGGCGTAGAGCACGTCGAACGAAAGCTGGACCAATCACGCGGTGGAAATACTACACACACACAGCCGACATTGCGAAGAAAACGCAACATCACGAAAAATGCAGACCAGAGCTCTAGACCCCATGTTTCTGCGCCAATGTTCGAGCAGGATCGATCCGCGAGGGTTTGGGGGCACGACACCAAGCGAAAAAGCGCCCACTGTTGACCAGCCTCGAGTTTATCCGTATCCGTAAGATTGAGAAGCCAAAAGCCGATGATAATCTCAGGGATGCTCCCGCAGAAATTGAAGGAACCATCAAGATCGGCATCAAGATAAGGCGATGCCAATCCTAGGGACACGTATACGCTCAGGCTCGTAATCTGTGAAAAACTGCAGCGCCTGGTTTCAAGGGCTGGGCGGGGGGCCTGCCTCTGCTTCCGCCGAACTTCCGCCCGTCTGGCGGCGAACGTCTGTTTTTCTTCCCAAATGAAAAAAGAAGAGGGACGCGCGACCAACCAACCTCACTGGGAATCGCGCAAATACGCATTAAGGTATGTGGGCCCTGTCCCATGGGGACTCGCACAAAACAAAAAACTAGCGAAAACAAAAAAACAACAAAAAACTGACAACGTATAGTGTATAATCCCACCAGCCCTCTGGGCATAGGTAGTTTAAGGAGTTTCCTCGTCCACCCCTCCCTCTTCCCCTTCGGGAAGGGGTTAATCACTGTTCCATATTAGTAAACACCCCCTCCCCCAGGCGACTGGGGGCCAACCAGGGTCCATGCCGACACCCCCCCCCACCATCCCTTGAAAAAACAATACAAACACACACTCTGCCTCCAAATTCGGAACATGCGCAGCCAACCCGATGCGGCCCCCCCCCCACCATCCCTGTCAAAAAACAATGTAGAGTACACTTGGCGGCAGCGGCGGCTGCGGCGGCTGCGGCGGCGGTGGCGGCGGCTGCGGCGGCTGCGGCGGCTGCGGCGGCGGCGGCGGCGGCGGCGGGGGCGGGGCGTCGGCGGCCGGCGGGCGGCGGCGGCGGCGGCGGCGGTGGCGGCAGCGGCAGCGGCTGCGGCGACGGCGGCGGTTGGGCAGCGGGGGGCGGCGGCGGCGGCGGCGGCGGTGGTGGCGGCGGCGGCGGCGGCGGCGGCGGATTGGCCCCCAGTAGCTGCCCATCCCAAGACGACTGCTGAAAATGCTGAGGCTCGGGCCAGACTCGGGTGCTACGTATGTGTTGGGAGGGCGGGTGGGAGTGAGCGAGACGGCTTGCGGGCGGGGAGGGGGTAACTTGATCCCTCCCCATACCCCCTCCCCTGGACCTGGACGGGGCTGGTCGCTGGTAGTAAGAGCGCCCAAAACGGCCTCGGCGAGGAAGCCAAAATCAATGGTTTAGTAGGCTTCTGGCTCCATTTTGGCCTCTTGGAGAGGCGACGCTGAAATGAGCTCCCCTCTTCCCTGATCGATCTCCTGCAAGATGGCCCCAAGAGGCGCCCAGGAGGCCCCAAGAGGCCCCACGTTGGCCCCAAGATGGTCACAAGAGACCCCCAAGAGGCCCCCAGGAAGCCCCCAAGACGACCCCGAGCGGCCCCAAGAGGCTCCCCCGATACACCCAAAACGCCCAAGACCCCCCCAGGACCGCCAAGAGGCCCCCAAGACGTCCCAAGAGGCCACCAAGAAGCGTTTTGCTTGCCCTCTTCCTCCTGCTCCTCATTCCTCGCCTGTTTGTTTTGTTTGTTCTTCTCCTCCTCCTCCAACGCCTACGCCTCCTCCTCCTCCTCCTCCTCCTCCTCCTCCTCCTCCTCCACCTCCTCCTCCTCCTCCTCCTACCTCCTCCTCTCCTTTTCCTCCTCCTCCACCCCCTTCCTCCATCCTCCCCCAGCCTCCGCTTCCTCCAGCCATCCTGCTCCTCCACCTCCTCCTCCTCCGCATCCTCCCTCCTCTTCCTCCTCCTCTTCCTCCTCCTCTCCTCCCTCCTCCTCCTCCTCCTCCTCTCCTCCTCCTCCTCCGTTTTCCTCCTCCTCCCTCTGGCTCCTCTCCATCCTCCCCTCCTCCTCCTCATCCTTCCTCTTCCCCCTCCTCATACCAGTACTAACTGCTCCTCCTCCTCCTCCCCATCCTCCTCCCTCCTCCACCTCCCTCCTCCTCCTCCACCTCCCCCACCTCTTCTTCCTCCCCCTCCTCCCTTCTTCCTCTTCCCTGTTCCTCCTCCTCCTCTCCTCCTCCTCCTCCCTCCTCGTCCTCCTCCTCTTCTTCCTCCTCTCCTCCTCCTCACCTCTCTCCTCCCCCTCCCCACCTCCCCCTCCTCCTCCAACTCCGCCTCCTCCTCCTCCTCGTGTTGATCTTTTCCGTATTATTATTATTATTATTATTAGTATTATTATTATTATGATTACTATTATTATTATTACTATTATTATTATTATTACTATTATTATCATTATTATTATTATTATTATTATTATTATTATTATTATTATTATTATTATTATTATTATTATTATTATTATTATTAATAATATTATTATTATTATTATTAGTATTATTATTGTGATTAATATTAATATGATTATTATTATTATTTAGTATTATTATTATTATTCGTATTATTATTAATTTTTATTAGTATTATTATTAGTATTAGTATTAGTATTAGTATTAGTAGTATTATTATGATTAGTATTATTATTAGTAGTAGTAGTAGTAGGATTAGTATTAGTAGTATTAGTATTATCATTATTAATAATAATTTTATTATGATTAGTACTAGTAGTATTATTAGTATTAGTATTTTTATTATTATTATGTTTATTATTATTAGTAGTAGTAGTAGCACTACTACTAATACTACTACTACTACTACTACTACTACTACTACTACTACTACGACTACTATTATTATTATAGTATTAGTAATATTATTAGTATTATTATGATTATTAGTATTAGTATTAGTATTAGTATTAGTACTAGTATTAGTAATAGTATTATTATGATTATGATTACGATTATTACTATTATCATCATTATTATTAATAATAATATTATAACACCTATTATTACTATTATCATCATCATCATCATCCTCCTCCTCATCATCATCATCATCATCATCATCATCATCATCATTAATATGATCAGTATTATTATTACTATTACTATTACTATTACTATTACTATTACTATTACTATTACTATTACTATTACTATTACTATTATTACTATTATTATTACTCGTCCTTCTCGTCCTCCGCCTGCTTTTCCTCCTGCTCCTCCTCCTCCTCCTCCTCCTCCTCCTCCTCCACTTCCTCCTCCTCCTCCTCCTCCTCCACTCCTCCTCCTCCTCCTCCTCCTCCTCCTCCTCCTCCTCCTCCTCCTCCTCCTCCTCCTCCTCCTCCTCCTCCTCCTCCTCCTCCTCCTCCTCCTCGTATTCACCCTCCTTCTCCCCACTCCATCATCTGTCCATCCAGCCTTCTCCTCCCTTTTTCGCACGGTTCGGCGGTCCCCCGTTTTATTCCCGCACTTCCCTGATCACCTCAACTCGCGTGGACATCGTTTCTGGATGGGCTGGTGGGGATACTTTTGGTCGCGGCCGCAAGCGAAGGCGCAGGCGGCAACAAGGGTCGGCCCGGTTTTCCGGCGAACCTAATTATCCAGCGAGCGCACTCACGGCTGCCAAAGCTGCCGCCGAGGGACGCTGAGCGGCGCCGGTGGCTGAAGGCAGGCTGCAGGAGCTGCCAGGTGAGCCACGCGGCCGAAGTGCAGCCATCCCAGAGGTGAGACCACCGGGAAGACGGACGAATTGTACCCTGTCGCGCCAGGCGCCAGGGGCAGGCGTGACACCGAGCGTGGCAAAGCGCGGGGCTGCGCAAGCAGTCCAGCATACCAGTGTCGCATGCCGACAGTGGCAACCCCAGATGGCTGAACCAAAAAACTAAACCACTCCTGAGCCATCCACGTAGGGGCGCGCCCCACCATGGCAAACGGCAGCTGCAAACACGGCCAGGCTGTGGCGGTGTCTGAGGACCAGAGGCCAGGAACACGCAAGCATTCAAGCTGGAGGTGGTCGACGTGCGAGTCACCGGGACGCCAGGGTGCCTCACCAGGCTCATCAAAGCCAGCACGGATACCACAGGGCACCAGGGACGGAAGAGGGGCGGCGCAGCAGGCAGGTGAAGGCTGAGATTACCTCCAGCCAGGTGCCCGCGGCGCGGCGTGCGTGAGCCACGCGACGTCACGAAGAGGGGGCCAGCTCACCAGGATACGCTGGTGGGGATCCGCGAAACGTCTTGAATTTTCGGGCGGGGTCTGCGGGCGACAGGGGTTCGAGAGAGAGAGAGAGAGAGATACACACACACACACACACACACACACACACACACACACGTACACAATGCGCTGAGGCCGCCTTGTGCCACTGAATCGCAAACAAACAGAAAGATTGTAATGGACAGTTTCTCCGCCTCGACTCACCACGGCGTGACTGGCGCACTGGCGTGAAACAGTCGATCGCCAGCCAGACGTGAACGCTACACGGGCCGACATGCCACAGGCAAGCTCACGCGATGAACTGTGGCCTGGGGAAGAGATGATGATACAAGCGCCAAAAATGGCGATATGACTGGGAAAAGGCCAGACAGGGAGGGGGAGAGAAAGAGGAAAGAGGGGAGAAGCGGAGAACACACACACATACACACTGTTTGGCGCTGCGGCCTCGCGAGCAGCGACGAGGCGAAGCAAGTCAAGTCGAGAGAAAGACAGAGAGCGCGCGCGGCCATCCCCTCAGAAGATGGGGCAGGGA